GGCCTCAGCCCGCCCCCGCCGGTCCTCCCGTTATTCCCGGTGACGGTTTTTGTCTCTCTGTCGGTTCTCTCCGCCGCAGACGCGGTGGCTGAGCGAGGGGTGCCGTGCCCATAAAGGTGTCTGCCCGTAGTGCTGAGGCCTAAACGGTACTCGGCTTAATTTGGGGGGGGGGGGGGGTGTCATGTTAATTGTTTGGCTGTTCAAGTGACGCAGTTTTTTGTTAGCTGTTGATGATGCGGCGTTTGCTTTGCAGTGAAAGTGTAACTGTAGTGTATTAAGATCAAAGCAAACGGCAAACAAAGGGTAAGTGTTCTGCTGCAGAGCCAACGTTTGGTATTTGTGCTCACGGGAGCAGCTCGGTGATGTCAGAACTAACACCATTTTCCCCGCTGTTTGTAATTAGATTTTATTTTCTTAAACTTTTACTATATGAAGTTTTTTAGGCCTGAGGGAGTGTATCGTTGGCACTGCACCTCTAGTTTGCCAGCAATTGAATTAAAACGTGCTTTTTGTGAACTACTTTTTCTCTTTTTAAGAAGTTATTTATTCTGTCCACCTAATAGCTGTTATGAGGTTTATTTTTGTCTCTTGTTTGCTTGTCATTAGCCTGGCACTTAATGCTTTATGTTTTCTACTATATTAAAACCTGTATCTCTTATCTGAGTTGGTGAGGTGCATTTATCCTATTTTGTAGATGGTAAACCAAGACAATAAAGGTCAAACGTATTCAGGCATGTGACTGTGCTGATTACTCGCGTGACCTGTATATAGCTAGCATTACAGATACTTTTCAAATGTATCTTAGTCATGTATCTACATCACTAGGTGTCTCAATCCATTTAGAAACATTTCCATATTACAATTTCCTTACAGTCCTAGAGGAACATTATTTTTGGTAAAATCAGAAATAAAAAGCTCTTCTTACGAGTTGTCTATCAGCGCTCAAGCCTTCCATTTTTTTATGGCTGTAACTTTTTTTGTGTTTTTTTTTTTTCCCCCAGGAAGCCCTTACCAGCCCGTAATTGAAGCATTAGGAAACTATCCACAAAAGAAGTTCTACAATGTCTCAAAGCTTGGAGGCGCCAAGTATGGTAATGATAGTTTTTAGTTGTTTGTAACTGGGATGGTACCAGCAATAAACATGCACCGCTCGCACTTTTCCAATCTGTTACTGCCTTATGAAGTTGGTAGGGGGTAATACTTCATGTAGTTTTTTTTCAGTAAGGGAGAAAGTATAGGTGTTGCTGGAGTTGTCAGCAATACTCCAAATCAGAATAATTTCTCTTCTGGAAAAAATGAAGTGACAGAGAACTCCTACATAGTACTTAAAAAATAAATACAGTTTTTACTGTAATTTTGTACTGCTGCTTGGTGTTATAGTTTCACCTTACCAGCAACTTCAGATAGTGGGTAACTGTGTTTACTAGAACATAGCTGCTACTGCATTTGCTGCAGTAAGATGAGGCTTTGTGGTGTTCATACGATTGCTTAATCTCGGCATGTCATTAGTGTGTAATATCACACTAGATGGTATGTGCCAAAAAGACTTTTACTGGGTCTCTGGGTCTGGGTGCCTTTTAAAAAATAAAAAGTATGTGCGTATGTGATGGGTGAGGGGAATACATGCAGATGGAGACAGTTATAGATCAGTGTCAGCTGAAATGTGCTTTACTCTTGCACATAATCAAAACATATTTTCATTATTCTCTCCCTTTGCTTTCACGTTAAACTCCTTCCTAAAATATTTACCTGACGTGCATATTAAAGGTATTTGGAATTTTTTTTTTCAATTTTGCAAGGTCTGAATTACTCTCCTATATTTACAGAATTTGTGATGTGTTTCTTAACTAAAAAATTACCTGTGGATATTTCACTTTAAACCCATATTTGACAGGAGTAATTACTTCCCTCTTGTTTGAAGGGAAGAGGGTGTACAATGGCTGCTGAAACTTTTGTGCAACAGCTGTGGGCTCTTGCAAATTTCTACTACTTGTAATAATGACATTAATCTTTCAGATAAGCGTATAAGAAGGAGGTAGAATGCTTCTGGTTTTGGCTTTCTCCAGGAAGAAGCAGTAGCGTGGTAGTAACAAAACCAGTTGGTTTTACGGCAGTTTTTTGAAAAGCCTCGTGACAGGAGCAGAAATATAAACAGAAGATACTACTTTCTGCTAAGATGTGCCAAAAACCTTGGAGCAGCAGCGGATGTTCCCGAAGATAGTCGGAGAAGGAGTCTAAACAGACTAGACTAAGAGTGTCTTTGCCTTCCAATAGAAGCTTCTGTGCAGAAGTTGGAAGCATCATATTAACTACATATTATCAAGATATTAAATAAAATTTATGCACAGTGCGGGACAGCACTGGTAGCAAATCCAGCACCTGGACTTGCTTATTGCATTTGTTGCTGCAACATTAAGTTTGGCTTTTACCTGTTTGCCCTCTGCCTTAAGGCTTCTAACTATAATCTGACAATAAGTGCCTGTTTAAATTAAGATTACTAATGTAAATGGTAATTGATTTATTTGCCAATTTGCTAGGGAGAATCTGATTTCCTAGTGTTTAAAATAGTACTCAGTTATGGGGAAAATGGCAGCTAGAAAGAGCTCAGAATGATTTAGGGCAGAGGGGGCATCTGGAGATCTAGTCCAGCCTCTTGCTGGGAATAGGGCTAACTTGGAGAGCCTTTCTCAGTTGAGCTTTGCAGCTCTGTGAGGATGGAGATTCCACCACCTCTCTTGATCCTGTGCTTAACCAACCTCCCTGTGAACTTGTTTTTCTTTGTATCCAGTCACAGTGTCCCTTCCTGCACCTTGTGAGGTTTTTTTTTTGTCCTTTCACCATGGACTTCTGAGAAGTTAGGCTTCACCTTCTCTGCAGGTCCTATTAGGTTGTGGATGACTACAGTTAGCTCACTTTGCTCACCCTGAGAAGAGAAAGCTAACCCAGGTCTCCCAACTACTCCTGTGTGTTGGGTACGGTGACCCCATAACCATCTTATAAGGCCCTTTGCTGGGTGTGATCTCATTTCTTGAGATCTCCTGTATCTTGGGAGGCCCAAAACTGCACACAGCGTTGCAGACATGAGCTTGCCAGTGCCTAACAGAGAAAAGTAGTTGCTTCTCCATAGCTGGTGGCTGCTGAGCAGCCCATTGAACAGTTAGCTTTATCACTGTAAGGATGCACTGCTTATTATTTGTAATCCAAGAAAAAGCAAAACAATTTTCTTCTGGTAACTTGGCTTTTAGATAGTGAGTGGTGGCATTACATCTGATTAGACATGGTTTTGATTACATTCTTGATTATTTTGAGTGACTTGTCTAATTACACAACAATGGTTAATACCTGAGAAAGACACACAATGAGAAAAAAGTAAGCAAATCCTATATTAATAGTTTGTGGACATACCTCTGGATTAGGTTGAGACCACCAAATTCAACTTTTTTGTTAAAGCCTGAACTTAATTGTTTCACCCTCTTCTTTCAAATAACTTTTTTTACATTTCTCACTGTTCTCAAAGTCATTTGCCTGCTTGAATGGTGCTGAAAATAATGGGATTTGGGGAGAAATGTGAATTAATCTTGCATGTTTTTTTTGTTTGCAGTGAGTAGTGACATCTGCTTCTTTTTTCTCCTCCCACTTTTCTTTCTTGTTTCCAGTTCCCTAATTTTTTCTTACTGCTTCTAGTCAATACCTTAATCCAGATCAGTAACAAACTAAAGTTGTATTTAGTGAAATGTCATTCTTCTTTATATTTGATGAAATGTGTTTAATTTTAGGGCACGTGGCAGAGTAGTTTCTGGTCTTCATATCACTGTTTATAAAAAAAGTAAAATATAGAAAATATGCTGGCTTTGGATGCTTTTGATACCTCAAGTAATGAAATGGTGAAATTTACAGTTAAAAAAATATTTTTGAATGTTCTAACTGTTGTTGCTTTTCACCCACTCTGATAGTAATCCCAGCTCTAGATCCTGTGCATCTCTCTCCTGCCAGCATAGCATACCTTCTTAAATGTCACTGTCTTAACACAATGTGGTCAAGCCATTGGTATCTTCCATTCAAATCCCATGTGATAACTAATCCTCGGCAATGTATACATTATGCAACTCACTGTTCATATTGTGTAATGAAGATCAAGCTGTAGGCAACTGGAAAAGCAGGCTCCTGTAGCTCTTATCCTTCCAATCCCTAGCAAAGTGGAATTCTTTAGAAATGGGAGATGGTAATTTTTAAAAAACTACATAAGCTGACAGTGTTGCACTACTTAAGTCAGTTACTTTGCTTTACCCTAGATACTCTGCCTTATTCCATACGAGTGTTGTTTGAATCCAGTATCCGTAACTGTGATGGCTTCTTGGTGAAAGAAACAGATGCTATGAACATCTTAGACTGGAAAACAAAACAGAATAATGTTGAAGTGCCCTTCTGTCCTGCCAGAGTTGTTCTTCAAGACTTTACGTAAGTGTGTGTGTGTGCACGTGCCAAAACCACTGAAATAATCTGTGTAAACTCACTGAGTTATATGTACAATTCTTTGGCTTGAAAATAAATAGCATCTAGCCTTTTGATACTGAAGTATCTCTTTTTCTCAATAGAAACCTGTGCACTGCTGCTGCTATCCAGTAAATTCCTCATGATAATTACATGTGATGCAAGGATAAGAGTTGTTCCACAGGGTACCCTGGTTTTAGTGCAGGTTGGCGAGGCTGAAGCTGTTGGATTACCAGGAACATTTTACAGGATAAGAGCCAAAACACAAATGGAAGTGGTGACATTTTGGCTGTAGCCAGATGGCTGACAGTTCATTGAAATATATAGAATTCTTTCTTGAGATAACTGAAGATTAAATACTGCTTACTCCACAAATACATGTAATTCAATTGAATCCATGAATAATACATACATTTAAAAAGCAGTCTCCTAGGGTATTAACTTTCTTTGTGATTTGAGTATGGCATAGGTAAAAGGGCAGTCCTTCAGCAATTTGCAAATATTAAATTTAAGCTGTTTTGCTGACTCATTAACTATATATTTATCAAGAAGTGAGATAATTTAAAAAAGGAATTGTGATATTAATAATAAAAATGAGGTAACTTATGCTTAGCAAGTGAAGTCAGGAAGATTTATATAGTACTGTGTTATATAAACATTGTCCTCACCTCAGTTTTTTACTTGAGATACACATTTCTATGTAATGGCAACAAGAATATTTTTGTAAAATGCTCTGAGCTTCAGAAATGGCTGGCTCTGTAAGAAGAGTAATGATATAAGCTAAGGTGTTAAAATGTATAGCATGAGCATGGTTTGCATAGCAAGGTTCTATCATAAAGGTAGTAAGTATCTAAAAATTAGTTTTGTAGTAAAGTACCGTAGCACTTCAGAAGCATAGCAAGACAAAAGAGAAATGTAATTCTCTTCTTTGAGATGTTCCTATGTTCTTGTTTGGTAAGTTATCGTCAAACGTGCTGTTGCTTGTTTTGAATGAGTACCAACTTCATTAACTTTTAAAAATGCTTAAATTTCTTTGAAATTTAGAGAATAGAGCAGTCGGGGTTTATTACCTGAAATAAAACTTGGGTAGATGTAGACTTAAAATTAAAAAGAAGCTTGTATATTTTAGTGAGTTGAAGTCCCATGTTATTATACGATTTTGTTTTTCCATCTGTTAGTGGAATTCCAGCAATGGTGGATTTCGCTGCCATGAGGGAGGCTGTGAGAAATGCTGGAGGAGATCCTGTCAGAGTCAATCCTGCCTGCCCAACTGATCTCACTGTTGACCATTCTCTGCAGATTGATTTCAGCAAATGGTAACGTACCTCATTTTTTTGATGACCCATACATTTTTGTCTGATACTGAAGTATGGATTCACTCTGGTCTTGGTACTATCCCATCAAATCATTTGTCGTGTGTGGATCCCTGAAACTACACCTGATGGTATTTGAAAGAGGGCTGGATAAAAATGGATAAAATAACACTTTTGAAGGAGAGAAAGAATGGTTGTGAGGGGTTATGGATGAAGTTGACTGACAGCCCAAATTCTGGGCCAGAGATTGCTGAAATAACTGGATCTGTCATGGTTTCCAGAAAATAGCATGTCTTAAGAGAATGAGGCAGAGGGAGTTTGTAATTTTGCTTTGCCCTGTTTTTACTGTTAATGTTAAACAAAACTTTTTTTTTTAAAAGTCACTGCCTTGTCACTGCCAATCGCTTGCAATCCTGCTGGACATATTGAAAGACTGTCATTTCAGCTGATAGCTTATGACTTTTTTTTTTTTTATGGGCCTGGATTTTACAGCAGATTAAAAAAAGCTGCATGTATCTGCAGAGAGAGAAGTACTTGTAGGAGTCTGGAAAAGTACTGGGACTGGAAAACTAACAGCATGGTTTTCCTTTTCTGATGGGCAGTATTGTGATGAAAACAGCCTGGGGCTGCCTTTTGCTAGAAACATAATACTGCAGAAGAGGAAAAACTCACGTTTTATTCAGTGTTCTCTGAAGTAAACAGTAAATAATGCAGCTCCCCTCCACCTTTTCCTCCACCCTCCATCATGGAGCCTTTCAAACTCATGCAGAATTGTGTAAATTGCTCAAGCTCTTTGGGGATTTTAAAAGTTCACGGGGAAAAAAGCCTGTGGTCAAATGGACATGGGTGTACAAGTAATTTTTGTAGACCTTACAAGTACATACAGGATTTCAGTTTGGTTGGTACTAGAATAGTGAAGAGCAAGAAGCTACAAATCATTTGTTGTGTTGCATATGTGTCGTTTCAGTTCTGTGGTCTGTCCAATCTTGGGTCTGGAGGGACAGCTGGTTTGATTGCAATTAGGCTAGCCTAAAATTATCAGAAAGACCAAGTGTTGGCAAGAGGTCTCAACGTGCTGGTTTGTAATGATAAATCCAGCTTCTGTAGTTTCACTTCTGGAAAGCTTACAGGGTCTCAGCAGCTGCTGGTCTATGATAAGAAACCCTCTGCTGCAGGATGGTTTGCGCTGCTTTTATGTAGCTTCCATCTCCTGCTGATCAGAGGCTTGTGTACCAAGTTGAGATTTAGACAAGGTATCCTCTGAGGCCATGCACTATCCTGCAGTTAGATAACTAAGTATCTTTCTGTGTTACTGAAGCAGAAGAAAGCAGTGGCTTTAATTATGAATCCATGATTTGGTAAATATTGAGAGGTAAAAAATCATTAATTTTTCACAACAAGCTTTTGCTCTCATGCGAAGACTGAATATTGTACAAATAGAGGGTAGCATGGGCTTTATTTAAAAAAAAAACCAAACTCTCAACTTTTCTGTCTTACCTCTGACTGCATTGAATAGTGTATAGGATATATCTGAGCCTTTGAGAATTTGTATTAAAAGCCTATTAAATAATAAAGTTACGTTTCTTTCCTTGAGAAAGCTTTGTCTGTAGTCATTCCTCTGTGGATTTAACAGAACATGTACAGCACTGTCTTAAAAAAAGAAACATGTTGAGCAAGTCCACCATTTGGATGAGGCTCTACCCATACCTTCAAAGTTTAAAACCCTGAGTTTAGCCTTTGCAACACTGTTTATAAAGATTTCTGGTCTGTTGTGAACAAATTGAAGGAGTTTTTTATCTGGTGGTAATCTTTCAGACAATCCAGTTCTGTTCACTTACTTATTACCATGCTATGTTACTTAACTAAGCTTAGCCAGTGGTAGTTTACTTTGCAACAGGGTTGTAGTATAATAACTGGTTTTTTTCAGATAATCTTTTATAATCTGTTGAAGGGATTGCATAAAACAAAACAAAAAAAAAGAGCAAAATTCCTAATGTCTAAATTATTCTTCTATTTAATGTTACAGTGCAATACAGAATGCTCCAAATCCTGGAGGTGGTGATTCACAGAAGCCGATGGCAAAGCTTTCTCCACTGAAGGCACAGCCTCGGAAGCTACCTTGCAGGGGTCAAACTGCCTGTAAGGGGCCGTGTAGTGCTGGAGATTCGAGTCGCAACTCAGGACAATTTTCTGCACAGATTGAGAACACACCTATCCTCTGTCCTTTCCATCTTCAGCCGGTGCCCGAGTATGAAAGCTTCCCTTTTTTTAATTATTTGTACACTTCTGTGTTGTTAAGCACTGCCTGTGACAGTTCATAGAGATGTGATTTATTTTTTTTTCCTAAACGCCCTTCTGTTCTCTTCTTCGCATGTGCCATAGACAGGCTTCAGCATCTAGAAGGTCTGATGTAATAGATTTGAATTAGTCTACAATAAATTTTTTTTTTTTTTTTTACAAGAAGGACTTTATGAAGCACAGTGCAGATGGCCAACTGTGTGACTCATGGCTGTGATTTTCAAATTAAATTTTGAGACTTCCCTTGTTTCTTTACAAGGACAACAAAGCATAGGAGTAATCCTCTGTATGTTACAAAGTGAACCTCATTGAATAAACCAATGAAGTGTTGATTTATTTCTAAAAGTAATTTTTAGTTTTTCTGTGAGAACCTTCAAAAGTCTCTGACTCTTAAAGACGAACTAAGAGCCTAGCCTATACATCATCCCCAAACTTCTATGGAATCTCACAGTCCATCTGTCACTGAGTTGAATTCAATGAATATCCTGCCTGTATGTAATGGCCCAGGGGAACCTCATCTATCTGCCTTTTCCAGATTTTCAGTATTATTAACAGATCATTGTGTACCATTCCATCTATGACAATTACATGTAATCATCCTTTTCTTTCAGCTGCCACCTCTTTTGTCTGATAGACAGTTCAGATCCCTATCTTCCTGTGCTGGACAGGTGTAGAATTTAAAAGCTGACCAAATTGGTATCCCACAGTGATATGATGCTGACTATCTTGGTAATTTTATAGATAGGCAAATATTCCTGCTCTGTACAGGTGTAGGAATGCAGAATTAGTGATGTTTTGAGCAATATTGATGTTTCTGGCAGCAAAACAGCAGTGGTATTTATTAAGCTGCAGTCTCAATGATGACTGTCCCTTGGGGCTTTGCAAAACAGCATAACTGCTAACCTTCTGACACTGCAGAGAAGAAGGGGAAGGTTCATGATGTAAAATACACCTCTAGAGAATTGAGGACTTCCTTCCCGGTAAAAAGCAAGTGTGTCGTCTTCCTTGTTCACCTCCTCAAAGCAGAGGTTATTCCTCTTAAATTGTGAATTACTCCTTTATAATGAATATCAGTATCTTAATAAATAACACTTACTAAGAAAAGGTGGTTTGTTTTATGAAATTGTATTGATGAGTACTTGAGAAGAAAAAACTGTAGCTTGGAGGCAAAAAATACAGCAATGGAAGATTGTTACAATTGCCCTCATGTCCTACTCAGTTGCTAAAGGGCTAGTACTGGACACAGAGAGTGTTTTTATGTGAACTAGTGAACATCTTGGTTCTTTATTGTATTGAATTTTGTGGTGTGCAACCTGTAAGACTACTGATTAGGAAAAAAAACAAAGCTTCTGTAGTACATGCTTAAAGTAGATCTCTTAAAATGAATATTTTTGAGATCAAATGCTTTAGGCAAACTGTTCCTAGAATAAACATGTTCTCAAGCACAGCACAGATGAAATTGGTTATTTTTCACTGTTTACAGAAAGCTTGCTGCAAGGAAGGCATTATCTTTGTTCTAATAAACCACTTCAAATTGTGCTGCAGGCTTAAATGAGTCTTTCATCAAACAAGCAAAAATAACAACTTGTTCTTCTGTTGTTTGAAATGAATTATGACAGTGCTTGTAAACTTCATATCTTTCTAGGCCTGAGACAGTATTGAAAAATCAAGAGATGGAATTTGGCAGAAATAGAGAGAGGCTTCAGTTTTTTAAGGTATGTCTGTGTACCTGTGGGCTTTGTATTGTGTTTTGGTGGTTTTAAGAGCTTGCTCCATTTGTCTACAAGTGTTCAGTGTTAGACAATAAATTAAATGTAATCATTTGGAAATGTCTGACTCTCAAATCTGAATTTAATGTGGGAACAGAAAATTGTCTAATAACGTGGTTTGTGACTTTGAATCTAAAAGTTGTTAGGCAGCAGAAGTTCTAAATCTAGGTGTCACTTAAAGGAGAGAGAGGTTTTTGTAATTCTAACTTGAAAAAGTTTACACTGTTTGATTTGGTTCTTCTCAGTGTGAAGGTAGTGAACAAAGTAGGTATTTATGAAGCATTAGTCTTTTTAATGACCTCAGTGCCTTACGTCACAATGAGTTTCTGGATAAAAGGTTCTTTTATCCATACTTCTGTTACAAATCTTACTGAAGCTGGAAATGTTGAACAGAGGCTGGTGTTGAGACATGGCTACTCTCAAACTAGGCAGCAGTGGTGGTAAACTTGTTTTTAATGGAAGTCTGGTGTGGTGAACATGGGCTGCTTTGTTGATAGCCAGGGGTCTGCAGTGTTGGTATTTGATCCTCATCCACTATTGTAACATGGTTTAGGAATCCAATGCAATTATCTAAAAATCTTTTCATATAGGCAGACTACGAGGTTTCTTGAAGTTGCAAATTAGCTTTTACATTATTAAAGAGGGAAACTGCCAAGCTGAATCTTGTTACAAGTTTCCATGTCAGCTTTTTTAAATCTAGCATCCTGAGTTTGCATGTAGCAAGACACTTTTCTAAATTGCATCTTCAGTCTCATCCAGGAGTGTAAAACAAACTAAATCCTGCTATAAATACAAGTGCTTAGGTTCTGTTGTCTAAATACTAGTCTTAGCTGTGCTCAAAATCAGTTGTGTGAACTGGGAGGTAAGAGATTTATGCAGTTCTGCTTTTGAAAGGTAGGTATGAATTATTGATTCAGCCTTCAGCAGGAATTGAATGAATGGTTTTGTTGATGATGAAGAATGTATAGAATCCAAGGGGATTGCATACCTCTGACAGGCAAGCAAAAGCCACTTGCGTAAATAGCAAGTACTGTTTCATTGCATGTTAGTTTTGTCTTTTTAGTTATGTTCTAAGAATTGAGTCTATCTTTGGAAAAAATGCAACTCTTGTTTTTTTTTTTCTAATTTTGGAAAAATTACAGTGGAGTTCAAAGGTTTTCAAGAATATTTCCATAATTCCACCTGAGACTGGAATGGCGCACCAAGTTAACTTGGAATATTTGTCGAGAGTTGTTTTTGAAGTTAAAGATTTCCTATATCCAGATAGCGTGGTTGGCACAGATTCTCATATGACCATGGTAAATGGTTTGGGTATCTTGGGCTGGGGTAAGTACGCTAAGAATAACTTGATAGCACTTTGAAAGGCATACTAAAGCATTACTGAGAAATACTTTCTTCCCACTGGATATTTGTATCTCAAGCATAACAAACTCTGTCTTGAATTATTCTTCAGAATTTTATTTTGTCAAAAAATAATGTCAACTAATGTTTCTTTCCATCGAAAAACTGCTTTTTGTAATTTAAAGAAAAAATAACAAAAAAACAGTTGATATTCAAGTAAATGCTGTTTGTACATGCAGTATAAAATTTGTATGAAGGTTTCTTTTCTCTTGGAAAGTTAATTTTAGATATAAAATATCTTCTGGTTGACTGTGAAGTCTAACTTCAGCAGTAGTCTTGCTTGATTTTATTTTTCATGTACAAATATTTACCAGAGAACTACATTTCTTGCTGTAGCCTTTAGGCTTAATAGGGAGGCTTTTGTTAGATTGTAGGACCTCAATATATTTAGTGTTGGTTACTTAAACTGATGAAAAGCAACCTAATACTCTGTCTCCTTCCAGGCGTTGGGGGGATTGAAACAGAAGCAGTGATGCTGGGGATGCCAGTTACTCTGACTTTGCCTGAGGTTGTTGGGTGTGAACTGACAGGCGCAGCCAGCCCACTTGCTACATCCATAGATATTGTTCTAAGCATTACAAAGGTAAGAGTTTGATGCCTTTTCAAACAAAGCAAAGTTTGTTGCAAGTTCTACCAGTGGTGGTTGACAACTGAATTACATGCTGGGTGTATTTTTAGTACACCTTTAATCATGGCAGTGCAGTAAGATACAAATCATCTCTAACCATTTTTATTTAATAGTCCTCCAAAGTAGTGGGTTTTTGCTTTTCCCTCTTTAGTGGTTTATTTACAGGCCCTCTTTCACTAAAAAATAATAAGAATAAAAACCAAGTATGGGGGCAGGGGAGAGAAGCCCTGTTTTCCATTTTTCCCCTGCTGATAGTATGCAGGCTTTTTCCCTAGCTTAGAAACTTTTCCTGGATACCCTTTCTGTTCTAAAACACTCTTGCAAGATGCAAGGCCTATCTATGGTTGTAAGCTGGCATAACTCAAGAACATATTTTCTGAAGACAGGGTTTTGCCATTGTGGCTCAAGCTGTTACTGTTGCAGTAGGTGAGGAGCTAGCATCAAAGCATTGAAGAGCTGTGATTGCTTGGAAATACATTCTTCTTTCTGGCATGATGCCTTAAAAAGCATGTATCTGTTCTTGACTAGGAAATCTGAAGAACTTGGTTGCAGATGGAGGTGTGTTTTATTATGTCAACTTCCCGTGTAGATTTTTAGAACTCAGTATGTTAATGCGGCTTGGGGTTTTTTTGCAAATGTGGGCCTTAAGGTTTCAGCTTTTTGTTTTAAATGTTCATGCCTCGCTAACTGCAAATTGTTGCAACAAACGTTGCTTGCATTGTACCTCTTCAAGTAACAAATGTTGTTGTGTGTTCTTTAAACAGCATCTTAGGCAAGCTGATGTCGCTGGAAAATTTGTTGAGTTTTTTGGGAGTGGAGTTTCCCAGCTGTCTGTAGCAGACCGAACCACAATAGCAAATATGTGTCCTGAATATGGTGCTATTCTGAGCTTTTTCCCTGTTGATAATGTGACATTGAAGCACTTAAAGCATACAGGTAAAGATTAAAGTAGGGATTCATTGTAATAGTGTTTTAGATATGTGGTAATAAGTTTTTTTGCTTAAAACTCCATAGCTCTTAAACAGCGACTTTCCACAGAGTTCTGATGTCAATTTAATGCATAAAATTCTGCTGTACAGTAACAGGCTGTGTCATGGGATATACGACTTTTATCCTGTAGAATCTCATGCATCTGTGTAATACCTGCCACAAAAATTGTACCATCCATATTTAGTGTTCACTGATTTTTGCAGACACTTAGTATGTGGCATTCGGGTCTGAGTTTATTGGCATGGCTGTTTTCTTGTGGCCTATTTGGTCTCCATGTATCCCATGTATTTAAGTGAGGCTGTAGTTTTTGTATGCATGACACTGGCATGTAGATAGTTGACTTGCACTTGAGGTTTGTGTCCGGTCTGGTTCATTTGTCTAGAACCTTATTTACTAACATCGTGTTATTTTTCAACATCCAGAGTCCTTGTTTTTGAAAGGATGTGTAAACCATTAAAAGTATTAAGAAAATTCTCACTTGTATTTTGAAAAGTGTATGGAACTTCTTGATATGAAATGAATCCCTTAACCACCTGTAGATTCCCTACATTATAGGAATAATCATAAAATGATTACTAGAAATAAGTGAAACTGCAAAACAAATCACAACATGTTTCTGATTTTTTTCACAACGATTTTTTTCCTTTCAAGAGCATTATTTCACTGACATTTCAAGCTAAGCTAGAAGGATGTCAGTTCCTTATCAAGATACTGCAAATAGAGAAAGCCACAGGGTAACAGATATCAAAAAAAGCTCATTCACATTAGTAAGCCTTTCTGAAACTGAAATCTGTCACTTTTAAATAAGAGTCAGAGATTTTTAATTTAATAGCAAACGTGTTTTGCCTGGTCAGTTCAGAGCAAATGAAACATTTTCTAACAGCAGCCAGTAATATTGGCTGTTATCAACTAAGCACATGGTCTGTATTAAATAGGTAAATATTAATAGTGAAAAGCTTTATGAACTTCAGGGACACATCTGTAAATTTAGAGTTAAAACTGCTAAAGTTGAAACAGCTTATTTTGTTCCTTGATATAAGAAGAAAAGTTAAGCTAACTTAAAAAAAAAAACCTAAAAAGTATTCTAATTTGTGTATCATTCCTGAATAGCTCATGGAGGTCAGGGTATAGAAGTGGTGTGCCTTGGGAAAAAAAGTACTTTGGATGATATGCTTAAAACAGTCTTCATTTCTGAGAATTGTGTGTTTTGTTTTATTTGTTTTTTTTAATGTAACTTTTCTCATGTTTGAAATAACCTTCCTAAGGTTTTGACAAGGCCAAGCTTGAGGTCATGGAAGCATATCTTAAAGCTGTGAAGTTATTTAGAAATTATGAGAGTTCTTCCAGAGAACCTGAGTATTCCCAGGTATGCTTGAAATGACTTGTTTCTGCATGTTTGGTTCTCATAATAACTACTGCTGATTTAACAATTTTATCTCCTGCTGTAATTTTCATTGCTTTAATAAAGGTTGCATTTATTAACTCAAAATTTTGAGAAGCAGAGTATGTTTGCAAAATATAGAGAGGGTAGGGGAAAGAAGGGAAGTACAATTATGTTCATGTCAACTAACAGATACTGAATTCCTATCACTCCTGAGTGATCAGGTAAGTCTTACGGATGGTAGAAAAGTTAGGGGTAGTGTTCAGACGCTTGGAATAACATGAATAGCCTTTTACTGTGGGCAGTCTTTAAAACTCTGGGCTTCCATTTTCATGTCTTGGAGCATTCAAATTTAAACAAAAGAGGTCCCAGATGTCTCGAGTATATTCAATGTAATGTTGGGCTGGGACTGGTAATGCATGCCTTTTCTCTGTTTCTTTTTTTTTTTAGGTAGTGCAAATTAGTCTAAGTTCTATAATTCCGTATGTCAGTGGCCCCAAGAGGTCCCAGGATAGAGTGGCTGTTAATAACATGAAAAGTGACTTCCAAGCCTGCTTAAATGAAAAGGTTTGTACAACTGATGTACTCTTCAAAAAGTACTTCTTATAATCTACACGAATAAATTTTATGTCACTTATTCCTTGCATACCTGCTGAGCCCTCCTTATTAACAGCTTATCCAATTATATTCTTGTGTCCTGAGGATAGTAGCTGGTAAATCATAGGTGTGTTTTTCAGGAACAGAACTTACAAAAATCCTTAATTTCACAGTTTAGATTGCTAGGGAGGAAAAACTTCAAGTTAAATAATAAATAGCATAAGCCTGGGAAACATTTTCTCATTTTCAGAGTTTTTTTTAAACAGCTGCATTTTACTTAATTTCCAAAACAGAATTACCATAAGAAAAGAAAATTCATCATATCTTAAAGGAGTTGCAGGAAGACTTCCAAGATTTGTAGCTAATCAGTGTTCTGGGTTCTTAATTTAGCAAGTGATTTTTGCTTGCAGCTTTACTTGACTTCACAGAGGAAATGTTTTTACTCTGCAGGTGATATTTTTGGTTAAGAATATGCATAGGTATCTAAGAACACAGGTAACAGGAATGCATCTTCATTTTTTAGCGTTTCTCGTTGAAGACTGGCAGCAGTATTAGAAACATATATACTTACTCTGTAAAAATTCTTTCTGTTGGTTTTATCATTTCTGGCTTGTGATGAGGTGTATAATACAGAATGATCAGTTGTGCTGGAGAGAGAAATCATAACTGATTGTGGATCACTGAATGGTTGAGGTTGAAAGGGACCTCTGGAGGATGTCTGAGTGCTGAAGAGCTGGAGGGTGTGAAATGTTAATTGACCTAGTCTGCTTTTAGTTATCATCTTCTTCCAATTAACATCTTGGGCATGCTTCTAGTTCAGAAACAAGTATTGTACAGGGTTAGACACATACTCATAAGGGATTGCTCTTTCATGTATAGCAGGAAATGAGTGTGGGATCAACTGTGCTTTGACTGGCATTTGTTCACAATTGTTGCAAAGTTAAAGCAATGATGAAGAAAGAAGGATGAGACCACTGTATACTTGGAGAGAGGCATGAACTGAGGGCTGCTTTTAAAATCTGTTTAAGGAATGGGACAACTGAGGATTATTTTAAAATGAGGGTTCACTTGGTCTTGCTGTAATGTCATACTTTCTGTACTATAACAACTGCTAACATGTATTTTTGTCATCTAGTCTGGTGTTAAAGGGTTTCAGATTGCAGTTGAGAAACAGAATGACATTGTACCTGTTCAGTATGAAGGAAATGAATACAAGCTATCTCATGGCTGCATTGTCATTGCTGCAGTTATCAGCTGTACAAATAATTGTAATCCATCTGTCATGCTTGCTGCAGGTATGTTGTGACTAGTGACAACTAACTTGATCTTAATGGTGCTCCCATGTTTACACAGCCTTTACCTTCACTTTTGTAGGTTCTCTGTAATAACTTGACCTAAAGGTTTGAAACTGTAAACTTTTAGCCTTAAACTTCTTGTGTGTTCTAGAGGTTATATAATGAAAGTTACTTTTAAATAATACAATCTCAAAATTTGTGTCATAAAGCAGTATTAATGATAGTAATTACAAAATACTTCAACAGGTAACCAGTTTTAGGGCTCTTTTCAGATGGGTGCACATAGCAACATGATGCAGGAGGTGGGCTTTAGCTTTGACTCCATCCTGGATGATGGTAGCTTGAACTATAGTTAACTTACAGAGTCTGGAAAGAAAATCCATATTTGCTGAACAGTTGTGCTGTGCTTTAGTCACTAGTTAAGGAGTATGCGCCGTACCTTCACAAGCTGCATACAATTTTCCCAGAACAGCTAATCCTCTGTTAGACCTTGCTTTCTTCTTTTGCCTTTTCTGTGGCCAAGGCAAGCTTCCCTTTAAGGCTGTGTGGCCTGTATCAGAAGAAGAATAAATGGATTTGCACTGTCAGCTAGAACATGGGAAAGAGATTTTTCTTACAGAAAATGGGCATCTACATTGTAGGAATGGGAACAAAAACCTGAATGATATTGTTATGAGTTAAGAAACTTTATTCAGGCAAGTAGTTGCTTTAATAATTTAATAAACTGAAGGTCTGCTAATCCTCTGGGGTTTTTATGCTTAATTTAACTAACGTAGCATCATGTAGACGTTCTTTTAAGGGATATACAAAACATAAGATGTCTTTGTCTTTTTTTTTTTTTTTTTTTTGGTAGGACTCCTGGCCAAAAAAGCTGTTGAAGCTGGCCTAGTGGTTAAGCCCTACATAAGAACAAGTTTATCACCAGGCAGTGGAATGGTTACACATTACCTCAGTTCCAGTGGAGTATTACCATACCTCAGTAAGCTTGGGTAAGTTGTGACTCCTACTTCATTTGTCATTTTAGGTCACAGGGTCATAGTACACAGGGGTTTTATACAGGTTGATAAATATGGCTGCTGTTCATTTTGGGCTGGCTAATTCTTAACTTACTGGATTGTTATTTTAACTGCTTGTTGACTTGAAGTTCTTTTACTCCATTTTATTCCCACCTTACAATTTACTGTGTTAGATCACTACCTCATCTGAGCTCTGTTTTTTTCAGTGGCCATCTGCTTAATTGTAAGTGTCTTCCAGGACAGGATGCGCTTGTTTATATGTTTTAAAAGTGGAAGCTGGATGTAAATTTGTAAATCAGGGCAGTCTGTATTAGTCTTTACTTAACATTGCTGCTGTCATGGATTGTTTAGCATGTTTCTCGTTGCTCTGTAGCAATAACAATTAGATTATGTTCATAATTCTGTAACAGTGCCCAGCTGTGCTCTGTGAGGAACGTTACTGCCTTTGCTTTGCCATTACTTATGGAACTAACAACATCTTGAGATAGTTTATTTGATTTATCTTGATGGATTACAAAAATGTTACCTTGTATCTTCCTGTTTGCATCAGTGAGATGTAGTGTCTGCTGTTCACTTCCTAAAAAGTTTAATTGTCAAAGGAAAAAAAAAATCATCTTAGTGATTGCTAATAAAAGAAAAAGCTGTTTTGCTAACAAATTGCTTGTAATCATTTAATGTGTTATGTGATTGTTTCTTTTCCAATGTAGGTTTGAGGTTGTTGGTTATGGGTGTTCAACCTGTGTTGGAAACACTGCCCCCTTGCCAGAAGCCATCAGGAATGCAATAAAACAGGTAAAGCTCTAAGGCTTGTTGAAAACAGAAATATGGTTCTCACCCAGTTAAGTGATCAAGAAATACAGTAATCCATGCAAATTACACTTTCTTGTTGGTTTGGACTCTGCATGACCTTTTTGCACATCTGCATATCAGAGGGAGACCATGGTAATTCATTGCTATGTAAAATAAATGTAATAAATAATATTTGTAGCATACAGATATAAATTACAAGATAAATACATAGGATCTAATCTTAGGGAGGATGCAATGTGTAGATTTTGTATCAAATGAAGAGGAGGGTTTTAAAGAGCTACATGGTTGAGTGATTTTAACCAGCAGTGTCTAAACAGCCACAGCATTTTTTTCTTGTGAAGCAGAAGAAAAATACAACAAATAAAAAGCAGGAGAGGAGTTCACTGAAGTGACTGGAGAACACATCAGAGGGTCAAGAGTGAAAAGGAGGAAGGGTGGTGGGAGAGAGCAAAATGCCTTTAAATTGAAGTTCAAGAATAAATATCTGAAGTGCAATGTTAAAAATCACATCTGACTTAGTCAACAAAAAATAGCACAAGCTGTTGAAGTACCACAGAGTCCCAGAAAAATACATATGTGTCTACCTTTCAGGGTGATATAATTGCCTGTGGAGTATTGTCCGGAACAAAGAACTTTGAAGGACGTCTCTGTGACTGTGTCCGTGCCAACTACCTTGCTTCTCCACCGCTAGTGGTTGCTTATGCTATTGCAGGCACTGTTAGAATAGACTTTGAAACTGAGCCTTTGGGTAAGTATTTCCTTATGTCTTCTATTTCGGCATCTAATGCATACGTAGAAGAGGTTTCTTCACATGCATTTCAGCATACAAAACTGGTATATTTGAAGAGAAAGCCCAGTCATATCTGGTGTTGCTTGTAGCTAAAGCAAAGCATCTGCTTAACTGATGAAATTCTTTGCATATTTGGTACCATCTGTGAAGACCTGAATATATACGTATTTATCTTCTAATATGAAGTCTTATATTCTATTCTTCAAAATTACTATTCTGTTTAAAATCTTACTCAGGCACTGGCTTTAATGGCAAAAGTATTTACTTACAAGATATTTGGCCCACCCGAAAAGAACTTCACACAGTGGAGGAAGAGTGTGTGATATCGTCCATGTTTAAGGAATTGAAAGAAAAAATGGAGGTAAGAATGGTCTCTTGTTCTACATGACTTAAAGATTGCATTTCATTGTAGCTTTATCATATCTTCCAGTTGAACATGATTTGGTTTGTCAGTTATTTCCATTAATGTAAAGAGGGACTTAACTGAGATGGATACTTGTATTAAATAGTGATTCTTAAGTAATATCCAGTGAGGTAACCTGCAGTATATAATAGAAATTAAAAAGAAAATCACCAGTAAGTCTTTTGGTTTCAGAATGTAAAAGGATCATAAACCAATTTATCTGTTCTTTTTGATTAATTTTCTTTTTTGTAGAAAGGAAACAAACGATGGAATTTACTGGAAGCACCTGAGTCAACTTTATTTCCCTGGGATTTAAAATCTACTTACATCAGATGTCCTTCCTTTTTTGATAAACTTGTAAGTACATTGGATCTATCCACCAGATTATACGCATTACATTTAAGTAGAGGAAGAGCTATTCTAGTAAAGCTTTGATGTTTGAGTAACAAATTTGATTATCACTAATACTTCTCAGTCTTTTAAATACTGTTTGTATCTCTGGAATGTATGGAGCCTGTACATCAGTGTGCCTTCGTATATTGCGGATATGTTTTATGTCCCTAAGGATCTTGGAAGAAAAATGTGTTTCTTTTTTTTGTTGCTGTTGTTGGTGTCATTCCCCCCACCGCTGCCCCCTTCCCTTTTAGGCCAAAGAACCGGTTTCACCACAACCGATTGAAAATGCCCATGTCTTGCTCTATTTGGGAGATTCTGTAACTACAGATCACATATCCCCTGCTGGAAGCATTGCAAGGAGTAGTGCTGCTGCTAAGTATCTGACCAACAAAGGGTAAGGACTTTTCATGTTAAACAGCTCTGTATCAGAGGACTGCTTTGCATGCTGAATAACTGATGAGCACTGTTGCTTTCCTTTATAAATGCCTGTCTGCATGAAGTGGAGATTATACATGGATAAGCAAAGTAGTGACTGTTACTGGTGTTTGTAAGTAATCACCTGTCTTGCAATCCCAGTAATCACTCTTCTTGCAGTCTCTTAAGCTTACAACAAACAGCTGAGACATACTCTTAAAGAACTCATTCTCATAGCTGTTGTTACAGTAATGTCTGCTGCCAAATGCATGCCAAAGCAAAAATAATTTACTAAAAAATCAGGTGACTGATCTTCTGTTAATGTGAGCTTAGTCACTGTTACTGTCATCAGCTTCAAGAACAGTCAAATAGATGCACAGAACAGATCAGAAGCTCTAGAAATAATATATAGTTTAAAAAAAAAACGAAGCCAGTTTTATAAATGAGTGTGATTGGTGCTCTAACTTACCTCTGCATCAGTGAGCATCCTGCAGCAGTAGTGGGTGCCTGTCACCTCCTGCTGAAGTTCTGAAAAGACACAGAACACAATGTGGTGCTGAGCTATTCAGTGTCACACCTCTGCTGAATATTTTGGAAATTATATTGTTGCGTTATATTCCAAAGGTATATTATTATTACAGTATTGGTGAAGCATGACAAAATAATAGCTTGTGGTGTGGAGTCTCCTTTCAAACTATTGCATTCAGTCTGAACGAGTAGTATTATGAGAAGGAAAAATTAATGGGCCTTTAATCCCAGGATGGTAATTTGATTTGAGTAAAGCTCTCATTTTGGTACAACACTTGTTAATAAATATGCTGGTAGAGGTTAAGAGGATTATTAAACAGGCTTGTTTCCTATAACAGTCTCCCCGTAATTCTTCTGTAAGTCCCATACTGCTCATAGCACTTTATAATAAAGTCACAGAAAATTAATTCAAAATTGCAGCTTTCCTTGTGAATAATCTAGCAATGATTTAGACATTTTGTTCATGGTTTATAATAATTACATTTGTTGGATGAATAGTTCTTTACATCTTACACTGAAAATTTAGAGATGCTGCAATAATTACAGAAATCATAACACCATTTTAAACCAGGTAACCTTTAAAATAACTGATGCCCTCTTAAATATTCTTTTTATTCTAGACTCACACCTCGTGAATTCAACTCTTACGGAGCTCGAAGAGGTAATGATGCTGTGATGACAAGAGGTACCTTTGCAAATATCAAGCTTCTGAATAAGTTCATAGGAAAACCAGCTCCTAAGACAATTCACTTCCCATCAGGACAAACGGTAAAAATATATTTGTTTGCATAGCTACTCTGAAATTGTGATGCCGATTTAGAACTTGCTCAAACTATTTCACTTTGTTACTCCACAGCTAGATGTGTTTGAAGCAGCGGAGTTGTACCAGAAAGGAGGCATCCCTGTAATTATTCTAGCAGGAAAGAAGTATGGACTGGGTAGCTCAAGAGACTGGGCTGCAAAAGGGCCTTTTTTACTGGTATTGCTGGTTTGTTTGGTTTTGGGGTGTGTTTTTGTTTTTTCTGGAAATACCTAAAACCACATTGTTTAGTTTGGGGCATGTGTTTAGAAACTGTCCTCAATCTTGAATATAATACCACATTTTGTTTTTAAAGACTTCTTAATAGGCTGTGCTACAGTCTTCATAGAAGAGAATCACTAATCAGGATACATCTGAATTTCCTAATTATGTCACTTACCATCTTAGACTCCAGACTTTGAGATAAATTAGAGATTTATCTAGTGCTGACCTCTGTTTGCTCTCCATGGGGTATTAAGTATCTACCTATTAGAGACTAATTTCCACTAACATGCAGAATATATTCTGGGTCAGCCATTTATTCATGTGGAGTAATGGAAGCAACTGCATTTGGTCTGGGATTTTCTGCCTGCTAACTACAGCATGGTCACTGTCTGTTATAAAACTCCATTTTATACTGTATGGGCCAGATCTGGCTTATTTACTTTCATCTAGCTGTAAAGCTAAAAGATGTTACCTACTTACTTACAGGACTCATACAAAAGTGCTCTCTTTACTCTTCAGTTTGAATTGCAAGATTTTGGACATAATATGTATTTGAAGCTTACTTTTGCATTTCACTCTGACTACTGTACTGAAGTACAAAATCACTTGTATTTTTGCAGGGTGTTAAAGCTGTCCTAGCTGAAAGCTATGAGAAGGTTCATAAAAGTCAGTTGATTGGAATTGGCATAGCTCCACTTCAGTTTCTTCCCGGGGAAAATCCAAGTACTTTGGGCCTCACTGGGAGAGAGCAATTTTCTGTATTGTTCCCTCCAGAGCTGTCGCCCGGAATGACTTTGGATGTTAAGGTATCTTTGCAATATTTTGTTTAATTTCTTTATTGAATGTACTGATGATTGAAAGCATAGAAAGAAAAGTTAATCTTGGTGGTTGAAAGCAGGAAAAAACAAAACTTAATTCTCTTTGAAAGTAAGCTTATAGTCTTGCCTGATATTTGTCATGACTATTGAAGTTTCCCAAAGTACATATACACGTTTTTTCTATGTAACTTTCTACATGACCTCAAACTCTTGGTTGTTCTTTTGGGCATTGTTTCCCCCCTCGTCGGTACTGTATTAGGGTAGAATTGAGTCTCGTCTCTCATTCAGGCTCTTTTAAAGACAAGAGTGCAACTGTTTGAGAGAGGCTTCAGCTTTCCATTCTGTGTAAAGGAACCATATGCCCATAATAACACACACTGCACTGTCTTAGGGAAATGGCTTTTTCTTTGTTATCAATAGGTACGTAGCATGCTCCCAGCTGGATCAAAACTGTGCAGTAAAATAAGCCTTCATTCTGTTCCCTGCAGTGTCTCGGATCTGCAGTGGCGGATAAGCGGGTTGAATTTCCTTGTGTTCAACAAACTTGGGGTTAGAATGTTAACAGAGAATAAGCAGGGGGAGGTGAAAGCAAAACTCTTAATTGGTCTCTCTTTTTGGTTTTGTTTTGAAGGCAAGCACTGGAAAAGTATTCAGCGTGATTGCCTTGTTTGAAAACGACATGGAGATAACTTTATACAAATATGGTGGAAGTCTAAACTTTGTGGCTCGAAGATTCTTATAGTAGCTACTGACTATATGGGTACCTTGCATAACTGGTAATTCTGAAAATGCCTTGTGTGAACCCAGGAATCTGTACTGTGGAACTGCAAACAGTCCTAGTGTGCTCAAAGTTACTTCGTCCATGGATGTAAAAGATTGTGAATCATTGTAACTGCAACAAGATCCTTCCTGATTTTAAATAATATTCTAATGGTGCTATTAAACATTGCTAAAATCAACATGTGTATTGTGGCAGAGAGCTGTAAGTACGGAGGGGATGTTTTATCAGACCATTTTGTAAATAAACTATGCGAAATCTGAAACTGATTGTGCTGAAGATTATTATGTAAGATTTTCTGCAGTTATTTCCACTCAGTTTTTGCACCTGTAAATCTGTGTACTGCTGTTTGTTGGTTTAAGGGTAGCAGACGGTATGGAATGTTAAAGGCCAAACAGAATTTTTTTTTTTTAACTTTTTTTCATCCAGAGCTTAAAACAGATATTCAGTTTTTAATTTCTTGCTTTTTAGGTTATGGGCTGAACAAAAAGCCGTCCACATGAGGCCCATCGTATCCTGTATCACAGATCATGACTTTCTTTACCTTTATTATGGTATTATATTTCATCTGGATCCAGATTTAAAACTGCTCACGCTATGAAATGTTGTGTGCTTAGAAGTATGGGAAACACCTCTGCATTTAAGAAAATGTTCACAATTATTTTGTTCATGCAGGCTAAGTGTAGCACCCCAGCTTTTTGGCAAGCTGCAGTGTCCTTTGAAGTTTATCATAGCTACTTCAAGGAATGCAGTTTTTCATTTATGACATCAGTTTTTACTGTACTGTCTGTGATATCATTAGACAAAGTACCTCCCCTTAGTATTTTAACCTTTAAAAATCTTTAAAAACATTTATTAGGACTGTTTAAATTCCTCTGCTTTAAATACAACCTCTGTCTCATAAGTTATACTTACTTGTCAAATATTAAATATCTGAGGTAGCTGTACTGCCCTTTAACACTTTCTAATATGCTGTTAGTTTACAGCTCTTCCAAACAAGCACCACGTTCCCCTGCTGAAGATCCTAGAATACTGAAAAAATCTGTCTCTTAAGCCACTGCAACTTCTACAAATTTAATTGTCAGCACATTGATGGTAAAAACCCTGTTCCATATTTAATATTAACAGAAGATGCACCGTTTCTGCAAAAATGCTTGTTTTACCACTTAACTAAGCATTGATAGCTTCTAACCTGTGCAAGTGAGTCCTCAGCTTCAAGATGCTATTTCTGTGCTCCTGTATCTTGCAAAGCTTCATAATACTGCTTACAGTTTACGTAGAGATTAATTTCTTTTAGAGAACAAAACTGCAATAACTTGCCTATAAATTGTCAAGATTTTGCTTTAAGATTTTTTGCTCTTGATAAACATTGTCTTAAATATCAAAACTTTCAAGAGGACTATGTTAGCTTTACTACATGTGCTTTCTATTATAACCAGACACTAAGCTAGTTGACTTGCAAGCTAACAGATGGACCATGCAAATCTTTAAATAGTATGTTTCTGACATTCCTGAAAAAAAAAAAGCCAAAACAAAACAAACCCTGGCATAATTATATCATTACAATATATTAATTTTTTGACAGTTCAAATGCCAAATTAATTTGACTTCACTGCCATAACTTTGATACACCTTTTTTATTTTATTGGACGAAGTTCCCTAAAGTTTGAAATTCTGTATAATCTGTTTCTATATTTGACTAGTTTTGCTGTGGTTTTCTTTTAGTCAAGATAGAAACCATGCTGGTGACTCCTACCACTGATATGGGTGATAAATCAATGCATTCTTGAATACTACATTCATTTGAATGCTGAATGAGTTTCTTTTCTGTAGTACACTTTTGTGAATTTTACCCAGAGTTATTGATCTTATTTCTTATACAACAGTGTCTAATACTGGTTTTTTTCCCAGCTCAAAGGTATATTCTTGATTTAGTTCAAGAAAATGCATGTTCATTATTGGGGAGCAAATAGGAACTTAGTGCTGGCGCATAATGATGCCTCGTGCAGATGATAAATAAAAACACAACTACAAGCCTATTTAAAACTTGTGTAAGTGCTAATGCTTGAACAGAACACAGCCTCCCACCCTCTCTAGTGCAGTAACACGCTCCTTGCTTCAGAAGGAGACAGTGATCCAAGCCATGTGAAGAAAACCAGTATTGTGAAGTTAAGTGCAATTTCAAGGGATGTGACTTATCCGCAAGTTGTCACCAATGAAACTAGTCATCTCTCTTAAGAGACATGATGGATTTCATTACCACAGCAACTACTTTAAATCTGCTGCACTCCTATGTCTTAATGAAAGACAGCTTTTGAGCTGTGCTTTGGCACAGTTGCTGTTCAACTTCAGGCTCCTGCTGTTGCTGCTGCAGTGAGTCCAGCCCCAAATATGCCGAAGTCAATAATAGCATCTTTGTGAGTTGTGCAGACTGACTCCTACCCTTAAGATCTGTCCACCTGAAGTGTAGTGGGTGCTGCGAGGAACAGCACTGCTTATGTACCCTTACGTGGTAGCAAGCTGCCAGTGAAGATAACACTTGCCTGATTATCCATGGTCATGTGCCTGTCTCCTCTCCCTTGTGCAGCAGCGAATGTTGTAAAGTCCAGTTCAACAGCCCAGCAGCAAAGGGAAGACGTTTAACTTTGGACACGCTGCAAGGATCCTATGAGCTTTAGATGAGGAAGAGTGACATCTGCTTTCTGGCAGCAGCAGGGTATGGTACAGTCAAAGGATTGCTGTGATCACACACAAACAAACATGGTTCAACTAGACCTCTTTATAGTATCTTAAAGCATAGGAGGATATGTACCTTTTTGAAGAAGTGACTCAGTGTGTTAGATGTATTTAACCTAGACTTCTCTCTCCATTTTTATTTGGGGGAAGAATCTGTTCCAATTTTTCTAAATATTTTCTCTCCTTGCACCCCTCTTCCTCCCTCCCCCTCCCAAACTACAAAGCTTTGAGATAGTGTTGATGTTTATACATTTTACACCTAAGTATGAGGACATGAAACTGTGTATATTAATCATATTTAAGCAACTGCAAATCAATGTCTGCTGTTTAAAGCCAACAGAACAGTGTAAGTTTTAAGTTCAGTAAGTATTGTATAGATATATCTTAAGTTCAGCTGATGACAATTGTGCATAAAATGTTACTGATGCTGTAAATTATTTTTAATAAAGAAAATTATATCACAGTTCTTGTATGTTACCATCTATTTTGAATACATAGTATGGAATACACTTAAAATGGTACAGTAAGTATGTATGAAAAGGTGGGGTGAATAAGGAAAAGGGTACAATTATGCATGTTTTCTTTTCTCATTAGGAGTGTCTCACATGTTTCGGGCTTCCAAAGCATGTTTAGTTGGTGTAGAAAGAGGTTTTCTGTGTTAGTTGAGCTCCAGGTACTAGTCTGGATATTATCTCATATGCTTTTTTAATAACCTTTTTTTTTTCAAGAAAATGTCCAATTCAGAATCTAGATCAAATCCTGTATTAAAGCAAGCTGTTGACCAAGGTTAGATTTATGGCACATAGAGCTTACAGCTATGACAAGATCTTAAAAAGTGATTTGGGGGTGTCTGACACTGACCCAACTCTGAAGACTCACTTTCAGAAGAGGCATTAGACTTGCATCCAACACAGAGATGCTAAATGACTCAAGTCTTATCTTTCTTACAGGTAGTGGTAAGAGAGGCCAAAGTACAACCTTAGTCCTGTGCGTTGCCTCACAACCGCGGGGTCCTTCCCACCAGAATACGGGGCAGACAGGAGAAGCGCGGAAGTCTGTAGGTCTTAAATCTTGGCACTACTGTCTGGAAGCTAAGGCAAGATTGACAAGGTACAGATCTGCAAAATGCATTGTAATGTTGTTTACAGAGAGAATGAGTATATCCTGATTTTTACTGTAACCTGCTATGTATCTTAAAGTCACAAGCTTAGCAAGGATGCTTTCCTGCTATATCAATTTTGTTCCAGTGAGCTAAACCTTTAGTCAGCCTCAGAAATCAGGAGAGGGAACCCTAACTATTTTCTGGAGCTCCTTTGTTCTTGAAAGAACTTGCTTGTGTGTGATTTCTGGGGGGGGCTGGGAGAGGGGAGAGTGAAGTAGGTAGAAGTATTTATTAGTTGGTCAATCACTTTTGTTTAGTAACATCTGTTCCAAAATTGGGGGAAGAAAATCCAAGGAACTTAAATTTGTTTCTTGAGAAAATAATTTCCCTTTTCTAAGTTCCCTATTGGATTAAAATAATGTTTTCAATTTAACGTCCTTAATGTTACAAATAACACTGAAATATTGGACAGAGGATTCCTAATAACTGGTTTACTTAAAACCAAGATTTTTTTTTTTTTAACTTCAGTAAGCCTTTGCTAATCTTTTATTTATTCCTAATTCCAGCATCGTGGGACCTCAACTACTGCAGATTACTTTTTTTTTTTAAATTAGGAATTTTAGAAGAGATTTATATATTGATCTTAAAAGTTGGCGGGGTGGGGGGGGGCTGAGGTTTGTAATTATTTAATTAAAATTGTCTAGGACTGGGCAAGTGTTCCCGGTCTGAACTCGAAGAGACATCCTGAGAAGGATGCCTCAGCTCTGCTATAGGTAAACGGTCTTTGGTCCAAGAGTTGGCCGAGGTTTTTGATCTGGCGTGCTGATAAAAGGATTTAAACAAAACGCAGCTCTCGGTTTCTCCCGCTAGCAGCGGGAGCACTGTTTTGAAAAGCTCTTTCCCTTTTTCACGGCGGGCGGTGCGTTTCCTCCCTCCCTTCCTCCTTTCCCTCCCGGGCTGTCCGACGACGCGACCCCCCGAACCGCTGCCCTCTCCCTCCGGCCGGGGCCGCCAAGCGCGCTTCCCCGCGGGGAGGGCCCGGGCCCCGGGCCAGGGGCGGGAGCGGCGGCGGGGCCCGGCCCGCGTCCCCCCCGTTAACGTAAGGCCTTTCGGCCGGGGAACGCGTTGGGAGAGCGGGACAAAGGTTGGGGCAGCTCCCGCCCGGTCCAAGGGTTTTGCCGGTGTGGGCGAGAGGCAGCCGGGAGCGTCCGCGGGTTCGTGCTGCGTTTGTTAGCGCAGGAACGCCGAGGCCCTGACCAGGCGGAAGGATGGCGGCTGCTTTAACGTTAAGGTCTACTAAAATGTTTCTTGGTTTTTTGCAGACGCGAATTTGGAACCTCCCGGACGGGGATTCGGCAACTCCGTTCCACCGGAAATCGCTCCTTGTTCACAACGTACCAGGTTAGGCTGCTGCTGGAAATCAGCGAATAAAATTACACCTAGTTAATAAGCTTTCCACCTCTACTTCTCGCAAACAGGCAGAGTGTACGTCTCTAGCAGTCTTTCTTGCCGGGGGGGGCGGCTACAGACTAAGTAGTTGACAAGGAAACACGATGTAAGAAACCCGGACTGGCTCAGTGGGTTTTCTTTGCTTGCTTAATAAGCACAGGAAACTCCTCTCTGGCATCTGAAAGCGTTTTGTTGCAGTGATTACTGTTTCTGATGTCAGAATGCAGATAAGATCATCCAACTTCTCTTTTTCTCCTAGAGACACGATGTCTTCTGGAAATGACCGTCAAGCCCAGACATTTACTAAACCAGCGCTCAGTGAAAAAGAAGCAACTGAATTGGTTGACAGGGTGTTTGGATTAAAAGTGTCTTGGATCAGGCTGCTCCCCAGCTATGATGATCAGAATTTCCACGTGCGTGTCTCAAGAAGCAAAGGTGCAGCTGAAGGTGCTGATGAGTATGTCCTCAAAATCACCAATTCGGAAGACAGCCAGGAGCCTGACCTCATTGAAGCACAGACCCAGGCCATGATGTTTCTCAGCGCTGAAGGCTTTCCTTCAGCTACTCCTCATCTTACAAAAGATGGTAACATAATGTCCCTGGAGTCAGGAGGTGAGCAATTATGAGCAGCTCTACTGCCCTACTGTTATCTTTAGCTTGGCGGTAGCTTGCTATATGGCATGTCTTATATATACTAAAGTGAATCTCTAGGCTTATTTTTAAATATTAGGGGATATGAATCAGGTGGCCTGTATGTCCAGCCGTGATAGTCCAAACTTAAAAGACCAGAAGAAAAGAAAGTCAAAGAGATTAATAATTAACTATGAAAACACTTAGGAAATAACTTCAGTATAATGAACTGGAGAAAACATTGACCTGACCTGTTCTTGCACACAAAAAGGAAAAAAAAAAGCCTCATTGACTGAATGATGTTACAAATTATTTGCCTACAGAATGGTGTAACATACAGTTCTAGCCCATCTTATGATGCCAGAACAAATCGCTTTACCAGTGCTTGGAAGAAAAGATTGTGTTGACATTTTGCTTTTATTTTCACTGTAACTTCCACACAAAAGCTGGGATTCCTGAGACGACGTGTTCTGCTGCAAAACAGTGTAAGTGGGTGTCCGCGGGCACTGCAGGAAACCTGCTGTATGCAGTCAGTTGCAAGCACAAGGACTAGAAGTCCAGTATAGATTGCATGTGTGTTAAGGTTTGCACATCATCGTACAACATTCTGGTAAATCACATCTTTGAATGAAATCTGTTTTATGAGCTACATCTGATGACTTCTACACTGGGATAAACCTTTTTTGCCTCTTGCATTAACTACTACTCAATAGCATATATTGAAGTGACTGACTGCATCTCTCTTTGCTTGTTAGATACTGGACCTGAGAACAAAAAGTACATGGTCAGACTGCTGACTTACCTGCCAGGGACACCTGTAGCGAAAATTGCTACAAATACTCAGATTTTCTATGAGATTGGTAAGCTAGCTGCCAGTTTGGATAAAGCTCTCTCAGAGGTAAGTTTTCGTTGCTCTGGCCTCACAAACTTCTTTCTCAATTAATTTCTCCTCTGTATTTCTTCTTGTGCTTGCTGTCTGCTTTCCTGATAGGTAAAATTCAAGTTGGTGAAAGCAGATGTCAGTTTAACTCATTTTGCAGGTGCTAACCTCCCAGCCGGCTGTTACTAAAGCGTATCCTCAAGTAATATGACCAGCTGGTGCTCATGACATGGTATTGATGATCCTTTTACAATGCATTTCTGTAACATGAACAGGGAGATGAGGATTTCTTCTTACTTATGCAAAACTCATCTGTTTAGTGTTTCAAACCTGGCAAATAAGGAGAGTGAAGCCTAGGGTCCTCAAATTAGAAGCATGTAAAGCTTGTTTTAAAGCATTTTTGTACAGTGCACATCAGGGACAGCTGGCTGATCTATCATTTTGAATTCATTCTGACTTGCTGTCTTTCCCCTGGTCATTAGAACTGTGACCATTTAACACTGGTAGCGGTTGGTTCCTTCTCTACAATGCCAGCTGTGCCAATGAACAGAGATTTGTGATGCTTCTCTCATTTGCACGACTTCCAGTCAAATAATCTTAACGCAAAGTAAGTTCATTCTTTACTCTGTAATTATACAGGATAATAAAGCTGATAAATCAGCCAGTAATTAAGTTTGATACATAAAAGAACTCTTATATTATTTATTGCCTTTCATTAACCTTTCCTTCTCATGTTCTGGCTCCCGGCTTCAGACAATTATGAAATGTGAATTGCCAGCTTTACTAACCACATTCTTAAATTGCAAGAGCATTTTTCAATTGGGAGAGATAATTTACTGTTGCCTTCTAACACTCTGGTCATGCTCTTATAATGCGATTAAAACAATTTATATAGACCAGCTAGTTTTAAAATATGCCCGTGACTTGTCCTGCCAAGGAGGAAATAGTTGATGAGAAAGCAAATTTTGATGGAAAAGGCTCTTTATGCCCTTAACATATGGATTATCATCTACCAGGGTTTGTCATTTAAAAGAAAGAAAATTACAATCACCACTGTCAAAACTTCAAAATATCATTGACACTAAAAATACCTAAGGTATTAAGTTTTCTGATGACAGATCAGAAAATACAGCCTGTCTTTTCTACCCAGTTAATTTACTTTGTCAACTTGATAGCAAAGCAATGTGCCATGCTTCGTTTTGTGCACAAAATAGTATTCCACCACTTTCTCTATTGTCTCCTTTTGCTTGCATGTGCCTCACATTCTCTAAATGGAAATAAGTTAAGTTTATGGCTGTAAAGTGACTGCCTATGGCTTTACGGTAACAAGGGCTCATGACTTTTTATCACCGTTCACACACCTGGTAAACCATTTATAGCTTGCTGGAGTATCTGATTTGTGCTGGGAAGATGGCAGTGGTTGCTTACCAGATGGCATTCTTCCTACCAGGGTGGTGCTTTATACAGCGTTAGGGATCCTGTATTGTGATTTTTGGTGTAGGCTTGATCTTGTTCCTTACTTTTTCATACATGGTTCCAGTTTTGACTATCGTTTCGCTATCTTTAAGAGTCTTAATTACAAGCATAGATCTCTTTTTAAGAGGAAGCCAGCTACCCTTGTGGGAAGATTTTTATTTGCCCTATGCGCTGGTAGAATCTGGCCCACAAGCCACCTTAATAAGCATTAGAGGATTCAAGGATAAGCATGGTATGCAGTGAGAGAGATGCTTTTCCTCCCTGAGTGTTGCTTTCCAAACCACCTTTTTCATTTGCTAGTGAGAGAGAGGTTAAGAACCTTGTTTGTTTAACATATTTAGGCTACCTGGATGTACAAAGGCAAATTTTCGTATGATTAAAGCTCTGTCCAGTATCTCCATAAAGTACTTCTGTCCTCGGGATTTTTCATGTACCAGCTGATCCTAAGGCTCGTCCCCAGAAGGTGCCACCTTTAAACGCATAGAGCGTGCCTGTTCCCAGCACGCTGGTGGGTTTTGTGCCTCTTCTGCTCCGACAGCTTTGTGTAGCACCCGCTGTGCAATCCAGGCTCTGTCTTGGCAAGACCTCAGAGTTGCTATATAACGGCATGTTACAGAAAGTCAGTATCATTCGGGTTGTATGTAGATATTAAGATGCTTGCCTTAATCATTCCTCAGGTTATTCTTTTACTTATTGATATAAAGCAATAGTCGAAGTCATGGTGCTTTTCAGTGAGTTTCATTAGGAACCTGTTAAAGTCAATAGGGGCTTTGAATCAAGCCCTTCAATCATAAAAACAGGATTCTTACTTATGGCCAATTTTATCTTGTGCTTTTTTCCAAAGAAATTCCATCATCCATCAGTAAAAAGTCTGCATCGAGGTCAGTTCATTTGGAACCTGGCAAACGTTCCTCTTCTAGATCAGTACATTTATGCCTTGGGCCAGAACAAATATCGTGAAGTTGTGGAACAAGTTATCGAGCAGTTTAAAGGGAAAGTAATACCCAAGCTAAGCAGTTTTCGAGCCTGTGAGTATTTTATTCTCATTGTAATTATGTTGAACTGAGACACTGAAATTTCTTACAGGAGTTTGGGTCTGTGGAGAAGGCAATAAAAGGCAGAAAAGTAAGTGTCCTTCATCCCTAGCTAGACATGTGCAAATATTTTGCTCAACGAACACAACGCAGAATAAGCCAGGAGGAATGTGCTGTCCAGAGTCAGGTTCAGTTCTTGATCTTTCTGATGTTTGTTCTGGTCAAGGTGATGATTTTCATGCTGTTAGATCAGCTTAATAAGAACATACGGAGCACATCACTTCTTTTCATAAAGGCCCCAACAATGACTTTATCGTGTTTTTGGAATTCAGCTCACATTGATGTTGATGATAATCTGACAGTTTGATAATTTGAAGATTGCTATTCTGTGTTTGGAAAACATGTAGCATACCACAGGTAGTACCAGACCAGGATAAGATCTCGTAATGCTCCCTTTGTCGATTGCTATGTATCTGGTCACCTGTAAGTGGCATGGAGGTCACTAGGAAGCTGTAAGGCAACAACAGCTGCTGCTGAGGGAGACTAGCATGGTTTTGTAGCTGAGTGTCAGTTTGAGCCTCTATGCATCTTGTCAAAGCTGTTTCACTGAGAAACAGAAAAGAAAGACAGATCCTGCTGTTTAATAATTATCAAATACTGTTTCTGTTTCTTCTGTGTTTAGGCATCAATCATGGAGATCTTAATGACCACAATATTCTAGTAGACTCCACCTCTGCCTCCCTGGAGAATCCTCAGTACAGAGTGTCCGGCATCCTGGATTTTAGCGACATGAGTTATGGGTATTATGTGTTTGAAGTGGCAATAGCTATCATGTACATGATGATTGAGAGCCCAGATCCGCTGAGCGTCGGAGGCCATGTCCTGGCCGGGTTTGAAAGCGTCCTGCCACTCACCGAGGAGGAGCGAGGTGCCCTCTTTCTCCTGGTGAGCGGGAGGTTTTCTCAGTCCCTCGTCATCGCGGCCCACACGGCTCTGCTGTACCCGGAGAACGAGGAGTACCTCATGATCACCGCCAAAACCGGATGGAAGCACTTAATGACCATGTTCGAGGTGGGCCAAGAAGCTGTGGAGAAGACGTGGTTTGAGACGGCCGAAGCCTACGCCAGCCGCGCTCCCGCCCAGTAGATCGACGGCTGCCGCCGGCCCCGCTCGCTGACGCCCAGCTCTCTCCAATAAAGGCGGCGCTGCCTGTGCTGGAGCGCGTCCACCGCAGTCTATGGGCAGGCAGGGGCGGGGGCACCGCGCCGGGCGAGGGCCGGCCTCGGCTCCCTGAGGCGCTACTCGCTGCCCTCTCCTCGGCGGGCGCGTCCCGCCCCTCCCCTCCCCTCCCC